TCTGGCACAACTTCACCTCTTTCCAAAGTGCATGGAGAGGGGAAATTATCTGAAAGGACTAAAACTCTAGCAACATTTGTAGAGCAAGCAAAAAGTCTGTTTGCTGCAGGTATGAAAGCTGATCTGTGATCTGTGTACACAACAGAAATTAACCCTCATCAGTGGTGGAAACTAAGTACATTTACTCAAGCACTGTACTTAAAGGGACAGTTCACCCCAAAATCAAAAATACGTGCTTCTCCTCTTTCCTACAGAGCTATTTATTAATCTAGATTGTTCTGGTGTGAGGTACAGTGTTGGAGATATCGGCTGTAGTGATGTCTGCCTTCTCTCAATTATAATGGAACTAGATGTAGTGGGAAAAAAACAGCACATTTGCAAGATTCAACAGCAATGTTCCTTTCTAGAAGTCATGACCTGGTTACTCAAGATAATCCACAGACCTTGTTGTGAGCAGTTTCATGTAGGAACTATTTTCTCTCTATTGAACTACACCTGCAAAGTGAGTCACTGCATAAAAGGAAACTAGCTAATGTTACAGCTAAGCCATGGAGGACGCCATTGGGTGGGTGTAGTTATGTAGAAGGAGAAGAGTTCCTACATGAAACTGCTCACAAGGTCTGTGGATTATCTTGAGTAACCAGATCAGGGTTTCTGGAAAGAGACATTGCTGTTGAATTTTGCAAATGTATTTTTTCAGCGCTTTGAGCACCACAAGCCGAGTGCCATCTAGTTCTATTATATTTGAAAGAAGACAGACATTTCCGCAACTGCCACCTCAACCATCTAGATTAATAAATAGCTCTACAGGTAAGAGGAAAATATGTATGCTTGATTTTGGGGGTGAACTGTTTCTTTAAAAATAATTAAAGAGAGTTTAACTTCAAGATACTTATACTTTGTTTGCATGTGTTGCCACTTTTAATTATTCTTCACTGCAGTTCAGAGGGAAATATTTCACTTTTTTCTCCTCTACATTTACTTAACAGCCGGAATTATTAGTTTGTTTTATTTTCAGATGAAGATTTTACATAAAAAGCCCATAAGTCTATAAAACACAATAAAGATTAAACCATCACCTCAAAACTTCTCAGATCAAACTGAGGCAAAGGTTACAGATAAGCCTCCAAAAATGAAAACAGATTTGCGTTGCAGAACTTTTTTAATCATCTCACGACCCCTCTGTTTTATCTTGTGACCGTTAGAAAGGATCTGACCCCTCATTGGGGATTCACTGTACTAAACCTGGCTGTATATAAAGTAGTTTAAACTAGCTTCACCTCTACCAGCTGCAGCACTAAAATCCTGCTTAGGCATTGTTACATTATTGTTAACAATCCAATAATGTCATATGTAATAATATATCAGTCACAGTGGACATTTTACTGCAGAATAAGTGCTTTTACTTTTGATACTTAAAGTAGATTTATGTGGTAACACTTCAGTACTTCAGTAAAAGGTCTGAATACTTCCACCCTCATGATATTTTGTGACCCACCTTTTCTGTAAGTGATAAAACTGAACGTGGTTTAAATATCATGTAACACGTACTATATGAACACACTATTAACACCACAAATGAGAAGCCTGTGCACAATCAGCTTGGTGCACCTGACTATTAACTGCAACAGAGACTCATACTAATGCTTGCTTTGATAGCCCTCTAGTGACCACAGAGGTGTACCTGCCAGCTGAGATGTAGAACTATAATTTACTATAATGAGAGTAACTGCAGTTTGGTTGTTTCTGCAAAACCATCTGGGACATTTGATTTTAGTTTTGTCTTAAAAGAAAATGCTAACACTTACTTGTGGCTATTGTTGTTCTCCCTCAGCCAGATTGCTTTTTTACAAATTTCCCACTCACTCTCTCTCACCTGCATGTGTGTGTGTGCATGTGTGAGTGTGCGTGTCTGCGGCGCCCAGGGGACCGTATAACACCAGCCTAATGAATTTTTCTGCTCTGCTTATGCTCCGGCTCTCTTATGAAACCAATTCATTACTCCCCAGCTGAGGTCACGAAGGGAGCAAGAATGGGGCAAATAAGGGAGAGGGGATGGGGGTTAACAGTCCCCACAACAACCTGATTGCGTCATGAGAAAGCTATCCAAGACACCCCCTCCCCCCAAAAAAGAAAAGATCATATTCAAACCACATGGGCATTTTAGGCGTGACTAATGCTGGCAGCAAAGACATTTAAGACAGCAGAATTTAATTAACAGTTTTGAAATTTATGGTGTCATGCTCCAGTAAATCTAGGGTCTTTGTCTGGCTGTAATTACTGCCATACAGGTTTGAGGGCCACAACATAGTTAGAGCTCTAGCTGGGGAAATTAAGCAGCTCATGGCTCCGGCTGCGAATCGGAAACAATTCCAGATGATTCCTCTCTTCCCTCCTCTGAGTTTATCTAGTCAGCAAATAGCATCTGCGAGTAGGCTACCATACAAGTTGGCACTGAATCCAAATTATGCAAGATGAGGGGATTTTCCACCCACTTCCATCCCGTAAATAATGATTATGGCAGTTCTCTGTGGTGATTATCATCATACCGTCTCAGCTCGCTCATGAATGGTACCCAATGGGTCACGATATACATAATGAGATAATAGCTGCAGCCAGATTTACTCTGACAAGAGGATTGGATCGGTGTCAAGAGTGGGAATAATTTGACAAACACTGTCAATACTGTCACCCCATAATGAATGACGACTGGTGACAGACAGTACTCAAATGAGACATAAATCTCAAGAGTATGTTCCACATTTTTAACACATGACTGTGGAAGTCATTTTATTAGAGGCTGGGAGAGGTGATAATTTATTCCATATGCTTTACATTTAATAAAAGCAGTGACGCAGCGGGCAATGCTTAGAGGTATGTTGTATTGTTTGAGCCACTGTCTTCCTCCCATGCACATCCGGTTTTATTAAATGTAGTCATGTAAGACACACAGTGGAATAAAAAATGAAAATTGGAAGTGCTTTGATAAACAAACATTATAATAAAAGCAGACTCTCAATTTATCCCACTGCAGCATCTTTTCAAGAGACTGTTGATTCTCCACTTCACTCTTGAGGGGTTTAGCTGCCTCTTATGAGGCAAATAAATCATATGAAGTGTTTTTCCAGCATTGCTTACAATAAAATACACCAATCAGCCACAACATTAAAACCACTGACAGGTGAAGTGATTAACATTGATTCTTTCATTACAATGCAATGTTCTGCCACTTTACACGCAACACCCAAGCACCTTTGCAGACAAAGTACACCCACTCATGGCAACGGCATCACCCAATGGCAGTGGCCCCCCGCAGGACAATGCATCATGTCATGAAGAATGTGAAAAAGGGCTTAAGGTATCGACCGGACCCCAGATCACAATCCAATACAGCATCTGTGGGACATGCTGGTCCTCCAGAGCCAAATTCAATCCGCGGTGGGGCCTCCTTGGATTGATCTTGGTTCTCTGGAGGTGTCCTGTTGTGTCTGGCACCAGAGCAATGGCGGCAGATCCCTTGAGTCCTGTAGGTTGCACGGTAGGGTACCAGCATGTACCACAGATACTAGCTCAGATTTGGATCTGGGGAATTGAAGGCCAGAGTGACATGTTGAGTTCTTGTAACATTCCTCAGCAGTTTTTGCAGTATGGCATGGTACATTGTCTTGCTGGAGGGACTGCCACTGGGGAGTGTCATAGCCATGAGAGGGTGGACTTGATTTGCAACTGTATTTGGCTGGGTGGTGAATTTCAGGTGGCATCCACATGAATGCCAGGACCAAAGGTTTCCCAGCAGAACACTGGTAAATGGTAAATGGACCTGCATGTGTATAGCACCTTTCTAGTCATCGACCACTCAAAGCGATTTTTACGCTACGAGTCACATTCACACACACATTCATACACTGGTGGCCGAGACTACCATACAAGACCTGCTACTCAGTTCTTAACTCACAGACACACCGATCTCAGCAATTTGGGCTTCAGTATCTTGCTCAAGGATACTTCGACATGCTGACAGGAGGAGCCGAGGATCGAACCGCTGATCTTCCGATTGGTGGACAACCCGCTCTACTGATGACTAATGTTATCTACGTTACATCTCAGCGGTTTTAATGTTGCAGCTGATCTGTGTATGTGATCCTTTTTAATAATTTTCTTCAACACGATCTACACTGGCTCTGTAGAGGCTCATAGGTTTTAATACTACACTGTGCATCCATCCATTTATTATCCTCCACACAGTTAAGGTTGGAGTCTATCCCATAATGCATTGGGCAAAAGGCAGGCTGGTCACCACAGTGCCTCCATAATGCACAAATATTTAGCATAACAGTAGTGTTACCTGTAATTAAACAGCCCCATTTGCAAATAATTATACAATGAGAGCTCAAGCTTGCTAATTATTTAAACTATTCCTTAATGATTTTGTGGTTGGGTACATTTTACTTCATTTCATGCTATCTGCCTCAAATATTGCCAATTAAGTAGTTTGGAGGGACTTTAATTAGATCTGAGTATGGTGCAGCAGTATCAGCAAATCTCATCATAGTAATTATCTGTCTTTGGTAAAAAAGAAGTCCCCTAACTAATTACAAGACAACTTTAACCATAAAGCATTAACATCTCATTGAGAATAAATTTGTAACTGTCTATTTGGCATTCAAGCAGTGTACAAAGTGTAATTAGTCTGACAAAGCTCATCCAAACATGTCTGAGCTGTCCACTTTGATCTCTCCTCTCCACATCCCCTCTAAATTGTTGTCATAACATTCAGTGGACAACTTCACACGTGATCTGCTCTCAGTCTAATTATGTGCATTTGAAATGGGCGGGAGATGGCATGGTATGTGTGTTGTTTCAATAAAACAAGAAGTCATGGAGGGTTTGTAATTCAAAGATCTTTGCCTAACAAGATACTAATAATCTTCATGTAATATCGCACACAGATTACAAGCAAATATCTTAAAATAAAATACAAAAACAGTCACTGACATCTGTATGGTTTGGAGGATTATTTTCTTTTATTGCAGAAAGCAGTCCAGTCATTAGGCGTACTAGGAATGAAATGAGGAATGCAACAAATAGCCTGAACACACCTCAAGCCTTCACACTACATTCTCTGGACACTGTCAGTTTTAATATTTCAAAAAATAATAATGATAGTAACATAGTCACATCAACACAACTAAAAATCTGTTGTGTTTCTAACAGCATGGTAGTGTTGAGTAACTGCTTTACACTGTACCAATGGTAGAAATGACTGCATGTGGCTGCAGTGTGATGTATTACACAGTAACACAGCACTGTGCTGTAGAGTTCCCTCAGTGAAACACATTAACGAGGTTCAACAACAGCACACAATAATACAGCACTCAGGATTGTAGCGGGGCCATCACACAGTAAGAGAGAGAGACAGACCGGTCAAACAGCAAAACTGTCAGTTTTTCTAGTTTCAACAGAAAATGAGATGAAAACATGGTGTTGATGAACACTGAGAATTGTCTGCAGCAGGTGTCGTAACAGAATTACAAGATCTGATCTTGTAATTGGGCACTGCGTCAAAGTTACAGTTCATAAAACACAGGTGGAGTGTGTAATGGTATTTATAATGATGGACAGATGGTGACTATAATGGCCAGTCTCTCTTTGTGTGTGGTTAAAGGAATAGCTTGACATTTTGATGAATACACTATTTCAATTTCATGCAAATAGTTACATGAGTTTATCTAAAATTAACTAATTAACTCACTTATTAACACAATATGTCTTGTTTATTTAATTCATACATACAAAGCAAAAGCATAAAACCACACACTGTGGTTTTCCAGGGGGTATGTGCTGGATTATTTCTTGGCTGGGGGCTGTAACTTCCTGGAGTCTAAAGCCAGGAAGTGTCATTCTTACACTTGGTTTTTGTACAGCTTAAAAAAACAAGATAATAATGTGGTAATTAGTGAGCTTTAGAGACCCTAGTGGGCAGTTGTTGTTGCCAGTTTCCTTCTGTTTCCAGTGTTTATGCTAAAGGAATACTTCACCCCTCCCCACCCCAAAACATCACCATTTGGATAACAATTACTCGCCGCATGTTACCTTGAATTATCATGAATTGAAATTAACGTGGACCAAGTTTAGCAACAGCAAAACTTATGTTAAAACATGTGTTTACAAACTCACACAACTTGTGCAGTATAATCAAAGTCTTAGCATTTTAGTTGTGTGCTCAATACTTCCCAAACACATGCAATTCACTAAAATATCTCATGCACAGCCAAGTATCAGAGTATGTGTTTGAACTCTGCTCACACAAAGCTCATATGCTGTGTGCCCAGGTATGTTCAGAGCACGCTATTCATAGGCGGAACTGTTTTATATTATAATATCTTAGCAAATATTCATGTGTTTGGGAAGTACTGAACATAAATGAAATTTCGATCATTCTGCACAAGTTGTTTGAGAGTTTGATGTTTTGATATATAGTTTTGTTGATGTTAAATATGGACTCCGATGACTTCAGTTCATGAGTAATGTATGGCTTTTTTGTAAATTTCCATTCACCATGAGGTCATGTGAGAAAAGGTGAAGTATCATTTACGCTTATCTTACTTCTCCAGTCCGCAACTTCATATTTACCAGACTGACTCAAGCATGGCATCTATCTTCTCATCTTACTCTTGGGAAGAAAGCGGATTTCTCAAAATGTCAAACTATTCCTGCAATTGATTGTTCAGCAGTCTCTGTTGCATCAGACCCACTGTACTTCCAATTAGCACATAAGTTCGCTGAATGAGTGTAGCCATCCTGCACTAAACACTGTATATCTCCATCAGCATCTAAGAATGTTTGTAGTAGTTAAAACACTACAAGTTAAATTCCTGAAACAGCCTCGTCCAGCAATACAGGATCCAACACCTCTCCCCTCCCCCATCCCAAACTTTTTGTTAAATTTCCTGCTGAATGTATAGAACCACACCAAATAAAAAAATCACTCTCAAATACAGTTTTTTCTAAATCAAAACCAAATTCTGATGAATGAACCTTTAACAGAGCCGTAATACTGGTAACTGCAAAACCATGTGTGAAATGTTGGTTTTATTCATTCCACTGGTCTAATATCTCCCATCCCCACACCCTATAACCAAAGTTGTGACAAACTATGGGCTATAAAGAAGATTTAGAGTTGTGGTCTTAAATCTCCAGCTGCTCTGAGAACCAAATGGCTGCTCCAGTGAATGACATCATATCGACAGTGCATCCGATTTGTTTTATCATCCTTTCCTGAACTTTGGCATCTCAGCTGTGAAGTCACTTATTAATAAAGAGATTGAAAACCAGTAGGTTGATTATTCCAGGCTGAGGAAAGTTACTTTGTTCATTTGTGTCTGAAAACTACATGCAAAAAAAAAAAAGCTTAAATCAAACCAAACGAAACCCATTCCTAAAAGCAACACTAAAGAACAAGCTTCATGGATGAACAAGCAGAGCAGAGGCACAGCATGGAATACATGAATACGCTCTGTATATTATAGGGAGAAGGAAACAGGGTGAATTAATTATAACAGATCATGTTAATGTACAGAGAAGGTAATGGTATGAGGAGTGGAGATGTGAGAAAAACAAATGAGACGGAATGCAAAATTAGGGGAGAGAAAGGAATGAGAAGTGCACTGAAGTAAACAGGGGAGAAGTCAGGGAACAACTTAGGTTTTCCAGCTTGTCTCGTTATCACTCGCACTCATTTTCCCGAAGGACATTGTACATGTTGACAGTGAAGCCAGATGGCTTATCTTCTGTCCGCCTTGGATGTCCAAACCCCTCATCTTCATCATCTCCATCCTCATCATCATCTGCATCTCGGTCTCTCTCTTCCTCTGGCTCAGTGCTGGACTCTCCGTCATCATCATCATCCCTCTCTCCCGTTCCTTCCTCCTCTGTTGTCCTCCCTTGCAGAGCCATAATCTCTGGCAGGTCTGGGTGATTTTCCCAGTGCTCTGAAGACCATAAATAATCCAAAAAGTAAATTAATTCCACCCACATGCCATTTTGACCTTTCAAATACATTTAAAGTTGAAATGATGAGTCATGGAAGAGCCTCTTTTACCTCTCAGGCAGCTATAGCCAGGTGGTCTTAGGCAGAGGCACAATCTGCCATCAATTGCCAACCGCAGGAGACTGTTAGCTGCACGGTAAACGTCGTTGCGAGCAGCTTTTGCTGTCTTATAGCCTCTCCTCTCTGCCCATGCTAAAGAACAAAACGACAGATTGAAAAGAGAGAGAAATGACAAGTGTTAGTGACAGTATAACACATAATGGTATTAGCTATAATTAAGGGAAAAGTTGATATTCTTGTTTTTGTAACAGCAGGGATGCAAACTCATCAGGGGTGAAATAAATGTAACAAAATTATCTTACTGCTACAAAAGTGATGTGAGGGTCAGTTGAGGGCACTGCCAAAAGCCAGGTCCAAAATTGTATGAGTGCATTGCATCCACAATAACATGCCTCGGTAAAACAAAACCACAATATACAAAACAACTGACAAAGCAAATGGAAAACACAGCTCATGCCATGTTTTGGTCGAGAGAAAGAGAAACAGAGACAGAGAGACAATCCTTATTTCTTTTTCTTGGCCTGTACTATTGTCTCAGGTGGACACTTTCTTTGTTTTGCAGCATGCTCGAGCCTGGCTTTTCTTCCTCCTCAGCTGCTGCCCTCTTGCTCTCCTGAGCATTTGGCAGACATACTCAATTAATGTCCATAGCTGCCTCAAGCTTCAGCCAGCTCCAGCTCCACTTGCATTTCACACCTGCCTCAATCTGCTGTACTAGCAGCCGCTAGCTCTTCCCTAACTGTCTCATTCTGAAATGGAACCAGATGATGAACATTCAATTCACACAGCGTAGTAAAAGTTAAGTCATACTGTGCCAACCATCTAGCATTTACTCACACAATATTGTCATTATGACATTTTCTAAAACAGCAACTGCTATTTGGTCAAATAAAAAACAGGGCTTAGAAATGGTGTTTGTAAACTGATAACCATTAAAACTAAACGATCAGCTGTCACAAGGTAATTTCAATTCAGCATCTGTTGTGTTCAGTGTGTTTGGCATTTCCCCCCTCCTTCTCAAGCAACACAATCAGGCTACTGTGACAAGAATTCAATGCAACTACATTATGAGTAAAGTAGGTCCATTTTAGCTAAATGTCTACACTGTTGTCTCACATTCCAAAATAAATGCAAAAGCAAGTTGTTTCATTACATCATGGTTATAGCCTTTCTACTATCATCTCAGCATAAAGAAAATTGGACTATCAGGGGGACACTTTGGCTGAGGGGCACAATTTATGTTAGAAACATCTGCAAAATGCTAATGTCAGTAACGTTATACAAGTGGACTTTGGAATAACAAGTGCACTAGCTAACATTAGACACCATGGAAATACCGTTAACATCTTATATTACATCTTAATTGTGATGTTTAACGTTTGCTAAATCAAAACAACTTCACCTTATTAGGCTAATTAACAGTCCCAAGCTTGGCACATCGTTATAGAAGCCATTATCTTAATGCTACTGTAAGAGATTCTTACCTTAAGGTATGTGGGCGGTCAAACAAAGTGACCTCTCAGAGATGGCCCTTTTCAGCCTTCACTCTTCTCAGATGCATTACAGTTGCCAAGCACAGAGACCAGGATTTTTTTTTGACAACTTTGAAGGCGTTGTTTTGATTTCATCGCCTGTGACTCTGTCCTCACAGACCCAGACACCCTCCTCTCCTTTTCACTTGTTAATGGTAAAGACTTTACCATTTAATATTTTATCAAAAATATGCCATGACTTGGGTGCCTATTTAGGGGAAGTTGGACATTTGCCTTTCAATATTTTGCTGCACTGACCTAGTGGTGATGTAGGGGAGTAACTGTGTTACTTCAGCAACTCTTAAAAGCTCCATTAAATTACATGGTGAGGTGTCACAGAGAATCGACTTACCCTCGCACACATCCCAGGCAGTCCAGCTGAGCTCTTCCGACCCCTGGTTTACTTCATGGGGTTTGTTCTCCAACAAAGAGGGATGTTTGAGCTTCAGCACAGAGAGGAAAGGGGTCCTTTCACACAGATAACCAACTGAGCTGTAGGGCTCCTGCAGCTGAGACACTGGGTAGATGCCTGCCAGAATCTAGAGAAAATAAAACAAAATGCAAAATATAATACAAGCAGGAGCAAGAAAAAGATCAATAAGAAAAATCAAAGAGAGGTCCAAATTTTTTAAATTGCATTAACATAATATCCAAAAACTGAGCAATTGAAAAATAACAAGAGGTAAGGAATAAAATCAATAATCCATCTTCCCAGAGGTATGTGTGCTCTTCACAATTCAGTTTCTATTGAGCCTAAACAGGCACGTAAACACAACTCAAGTAACAAAACTGAGGCTGTACCTGCAGCTGTTTATTGACACGGGAGGGGAAAACCAGTCCAGGGCAGTCACACAGTTTGACTGTTGGGGTGAGGTAGTAGGTCTGGAAGTATTTGGTGTGGCCTGGGGTTCGGGACACGCTCACCACCTTCCTTCCCACCAGGCTGTTTATGACAGATGACTTACCAACATTCGGAAAGCCTGCAGGAAAAAAAGAGAGAGGTTTTAAAAATCAATCTTTAATATCTACAAATTACATTCTCGATTTGGTCTGCTTATGCTAACCTCACGTCGTCCAGGGTGTTAGAGAGAAAGGGGTTTAGTGTTTTGATGCAATTATCTTAGAAAAGTAAAAGGAAAAAAAAGATTCGATCTTGAGAAAATATCCCCATTTCTCCGTGAAAACTCAAATGCATACCTATGCAGCCCAGTGTGAGAACCCCATCTTTGTACAGCTCCTGGGATGGGCTGCTCATTTCCATAGCGCTGTCACTTTGATGCTCCATCAGCACAGACTCCGCTCCTTCATCTGGCCGCTCTCCATCCAGAGGCTCGGCAACAGCATCTCTCTGAATTTTATGCTCCCAGCTGGATAGGTCAACTTTGAAAACAAAAGGTTAAAACTTAGATCCCCAATCAAACTGCACTACCTTTTCAGTTGGAGCCTGGCCCGATCAGACAGAGTGCTTTTTGCTGATTGTTGTACCTTATTTTAAACTGTTGCTAGGGCAACCACCAAATGATGCTGTGAAGTAAGATCCCAGATCTGTACCTTTAAATCTGCATAAAAATGGACAGGCAGAGGGCACTTCGGGACTGGATGCAGGGAAACAGAGAGCCATGTAGGTCCACAAGACCACAAGTAGACAGCTTTGCCTGGATGATGGTTAGTTCAAGACTGATTTTAGGATGAGTCAGGGATGGTTTAGCATTTTGCTGGTAATCATCATGAGGTTGGTTAAACGTTAGAAAGTAGCTAAGGCTATAAATTGTTTAGATATGTATTGAAGCTAAAGTTAACATGTACGTTACCACTTGTTGCCATCCCACCACAAAAGACCTGCCTCTTAATTCATCTGATTGGACAATGTGGAAAAAACGCCAAAGATGTCAGGTTGTTTTCTACTCTGAGTCAAAGTTTTTTCACTTTGAAATGCTCAGGGCGTTCCTGCATAACCACGTGGCACACAGAGTGGAAGGCAAGGCAAGGCAAGGCAAGTTTATGTATATAACACAATCCGGCAACAAGGCAATTCAAAGTGCTAGAGTAGTAAACGTGAGGCACTCAGCAACGCGAAAACAGCGTGCACAAAACTTCACTCTCATTGAAAACAACTACAAACAGTTAAAACTTTCTCTGTCTGATTGGGGCCTTAAGGCAACACAAATGTGAATTTGCAAAGAGTCAAGTTCACAGAATGAATAACAAGCAGATGTCTGTGTGATTATGACTTTTTTATGAGTATGCAAGATTAAGAGTGGACAGACACCCACCTCTCCCTGCTGTGATCTCCTGACAGGCCTTCAGGATATCTAAAGGACCTCCAGCGTGACTCCAGTCAGCCTTCTTCCTCATCCTCTTCTTCTGGAGCACTACAAGTCGGCAGCAGACAGACAGATGGTTATTCCCATCGCAACAAGAGCCAGCTGGGTTATTCTGGTAATACTGCACTCAAATAAATTTACTGAGTGGCAGGTTTATTTCAATTTCAGTGCCTGTGTGATGTTATCTTTCATGTGTGTTGCTCACTCCTCATTCTATCCCACCACTCCCACTATTCTCCATCTCCTCACCTGTGCTGTAGGGCTGTCCAGGGTGGGAGGTGAAGCAGACTATTTGCAGGTGGGGGAACTGGGAGGTCATGTAGTGTTTCCAGGCAATCACCAGCGGGGGAGGACACAGGTCGGCTTTGTTCAACACCAGGACCACCTGCTTCCCTAGATCTCCTGTGATGTAGTGGTACAGGGCTGGAGGGAACTGCAGCACCTGGGGGGGTTTAAATGAGGATAGACCTTATTAAAATAGTGATTATGGCCTTCTCAACAAATAAACCACAAGATCATATCCTTATTAATAGGAACAAGACGAGATGTGCTGCTTTTAATGAAACATTAATACTGGAAACGCTAAATAGAGAAAGTGAATTCACTTCTCATTAAATATATCTGGCTTGAAAGTTAGCATAAGTATGTCAGAAGCTCATGTTTTATAATTAGGACCAAAGAAGTGGGTTTAATTTTAACTTAGATTCAACTAAGAAGTACTGATTTGACACTGACACACCTAGAACACAGAAACACTTTAGTTGCAACCATTTTGCCTCAGTTTATCCTCAGTTTTGAAAATCGAAAATGAGTTAGGTTAATACTAAGGTGTAAAGATAAATAATAAACACCGGATACTCAGATGGAGGTTGACTGTGTCTCCATCTAGTGGTCACCAGATCACCTACCGGGTGCCTGATGTCCACAATGAGCAGGATGACATCTGACATCTCCAACACTCTCCACAGCTGCCTCCATGTCTGAAGAAAGAAAAAAATGAGTGGGCGATTTTTAATATCATCAAAACAAAGTAACGTCTGTGAACTCACAATTTATTATCTCATTCAGCTAAACAGCATATTAGGAAACAACCATAAAAGACAATGATTTATCAAAAGTACTCTAAGATGATATTTATTATTGTAATGCCCTATTCTAATACTATAAAACTAAAATCAGCTTCTTCGTATATGTGTTATTTTTCCATCATTTCGATCCTCAGCTTCACTTAAAAAGCCATCATCTCTCAATTACTGAGAGTCACTTATTACACCAGCAGCTGCTTCTGCTGTGATGTGCCTCCTGAGCTCAGCCCACGCTCTGAAATTAAATGATTGGCAGGGTTTCTGATTTTGAAAAATTGTGTTACCATTTTCACAGCCTGAAAACGAGCAAAACTGAGCAACATCGCAGCGTGTGAGGTACGATGGTACTTTGTCCCTGATGGAAAATAACAGACAACACACAGGCAGGTCATAAAATTCTCACAGACCACCACATGATCCAACTCTACCACAATTAAATATTCAGCTCATTGTACGTCCTGGAGTTAGACGCTGGATAAAAGCCTCAACAGTTACGTCTTTATTACACAGTCTGCTGGGTAATCATCAGTTTACAGGCAACTCAAAAACAATCAGGATTACTCCATGATGTTATTGTTGTCAAAGGGTTTAACAGGATTCATTAATACTCATTTTGAGCAGAAAAGGTACTGGCAATCTGAGCTTTTAAAACCTGGATCTCATATGCAGTAATAAAAATGGTTCTCTGGCTACATGCTGAACCCACTGCTCTCAGCTGAAGAAAACAATTAATCTTGAGGGCAAAAAGAGCCAAAAGCGAGTGTGTACACAAGAGGATGTTACTATACGAACTAATCCTGGTTCAACAGATAATTGGTGAGGTCTGACCTTTATTGCTGGGGCATTTAATACAGAGAATGGCATGAATTTTGTCTTCTTGCAAGGACAAAAACTAGGAAATTATGTGAACTGGAGCATTAAATATACAGTAGTAACAGTCATGTTTCTGGCAATGTGCGAAATTCCACCAATCCGACAATGATCTTGGGAAGGTTTCATCTTTCTCTGAGTTATAGCTTTCTAACAATCTGCTGAAACTTGTAAAACAAAAAGTTAAGCTCCATTATTCACCATGCCCCATGTCTAGGCACATAACTGTCTACTTTTCAAAACAAAATGAAAATAAATACACTGTTCAAAAACATTTAGGGAACACTTCGTCACAGTATAACAACAAGTCAGCTAAACTTCAGGGATATCAATCTGTCCATTTAGCAAGCTTGAGTGATTGTGAACCAGTTTCACCTGCTTTGGTGCAAATGAAAGTGACAACAGGTGCGATGGAGAGGCAAAAGCAAGACAATACCCAAACAGGGAATAATTTTGCATGTGGTGGTCACAGACAGTTGCTCTCTCCTTATCCTTCCTGACTGATATTTCTCTACTTTTGTGTTCTGCTAGTGTCTTTGTCACTACTGGTAGCATGAGGCGGTACCTGCAGCCCAATCAGGTTGCACGGGTAGTCCAGCTCCTCTGGGATGGCATATCCATACGTAAAGGTTGCAAGAAGGTTTGCTGTGTCTCACAGTCTCAAGGGCATGGAGGAGATATCAGGAGACTGCCCGTTTCATGAGGAGAGCTGCACAGGGCCGTAGGAGGGCATCAACCTAGCAGCAGGACCAGTATCTGCTCCTTTGTGTGAGGAGGAACAGGAGGAGCACTGCCAGCGCCCTACAGAATGACCTCCAGCAGGCTACTGGTGTGCATGTTTCTAACGTAACTGTCAGAAATGGATTCCATGAGGGTGGCATGAGGGCCACACGTTCTCTAGTCGGACCTGTGTTCACAGCCCAGCATCATGCAGCTCAAATGGCATTCCCCACAGAACACCAGAATTGGCAGGTCTGCCACTGGCGCCCTGTTCTCTTCACAGATGAGAGCAGGTTCACACTGAGCACATGTGACAGGCATGAAAGAGTCTGGAGTCGCCATGGTAAACATTTTGCTGCCTGCAACATCATCCAGCATGACTGGTTTGGCGGTGGGTCAGTGATGGTCTGGGGAGGCATATCCTTGGAGGGTCACACAAACCTCCATGTCATAGCCAACAATTCCCTGACTGCTGTTAGGTACCAGGATGAGATCCTAAGAGTGATTGTCAGACCTTACACTGGTGCAGTGGGCCCTGGGTTCCTCCTGGTGCAGGACAATGCCCGGCATCAGTGTGTAAGCAGTTCCTGGATGACGACGGCATTGATGCCACTGACTGACCCACTCATTCCCCTGACCTAAATCGCATTGAGCACCTATGGGACGTTATGCATCAGTGCATCCAACGCCACCAAGTACCGCCCCAGACTGTCTAGGAGCTCACTGATGCTCTGATCCAGGTCTGGGAGGAGATCCCCCAGGAGACCATCTGCTGACTCATCAGGACCTAGCATCAGGACTATTGGGCTTTGTCCAGCGTGCATACAGGCATACGACGGCCAAACACACTACTGAGTCACATCCTGAATTACTGTGATAAAATTCATGCAAGTTGGATCAGCCTGTGATTTCAAATCTGTACCTTGATTTTCAGTGTGATTTTTGAATCAAGCCCTCAATGGGTTGATGATTTTGGTTTTCATTGAGCATTGCTACATCATTTTGTTCCCAACAAATTATACAATGTACATCAGTAAAGATTTTTAATTGGAATAATTCATTCATCAAGATCTGATGTGTGATTTAAACATTTGAGCAGTGGAAATAAAGAGGTGAAAGAGTTTCTAGTCCAGCTCTGGCACTTGCTGTCCTTCATACTGTGAAAGATTTCTTCATATAGTTATCTGCTCCAAGGACACCACTGCAGGTGTTTACATTATGTAGCATTCACTGCTACATGAAGCTATATGCTAACGTCAGGCAAACATGTACACTTGCTTGTCAATTTTGTAATTTTATTCCAGATTTCGGGTAATATTCCTGTTGGAACATGTCCAACAATGTCCATGGTTTTATTTCTATGCTTTTATCTGTAATTTTTCATGGTAGAAAGTGTCGCTACACTCCATTACAATCACTACCCAGCTGCAATGCCGATGCAGAGACGCTTCGACAATAAAGACTCAGAAACACTGACCAGTCAGGGCAGACTAGGCTTTTTTGGGAAGGGAGCTTAAAGAGAAACCTCCTAAACTAAGTGTTTCAGACAGGGGTAAATACAGGTGTTCCAGCAAAGACAGTATGAAGAAATATAGTGTTTTTTGACCACTGAATCATGTAAACATGTTCCAGTAGAAACATTAAATACAAGGATGGACTTGATCATGAGCATAATAGGTCCTCTTTACCTCCAGATTGTGCTCAAAGTGGCTGAGAGTGCCAGCTGGGTTTCTGGAGTGCAGGTCGTCCAGGTACTCTCTGTACGACTTCTCCTCTTTCCTCAGCAGGTTCTCTCGTGTCATCTCATAACTCCAGGATGGGCGTCGTGGGAAACCAAGACCTGGCAGTGAATAATTAAGTTTTAGCGTGTCAAGCAGTGACCCACTCCATTAACCTACTCTGCTCATCTGTTTGGCTTATTTTGAGAGTGTCATGTGGAAAGCATTAAAAAAACTGCCAAACCTTTCTCTGAGGGGTAGATGTCATTGATGCTGATCTCATGTTCTTTGTCTGAGACTGGCTGAAGCACCTTCTCCCTGGCCAACTTCTTCCTCTTTTCCACATCCTCTTTACTCTCTTTCTCAAAGTGCAGTCGGAACCTAAAGAGAGGAGACGGACATCAGTAAGGCTACTTCGGTATTTGCCTACGATTAGGTTGATAAAAATTGGTAACTTAAATCACACTCAAAGCATGCATCTGCCAGATGATCTTGATTTAACTAATCTACCAGAACCAACACACTATGAAACAGATGTCTCAGTCAAAGTTAGTTGAGAACATCGACAACACACAGTTTAATGTCTTCTACAGCCAAATAAGAGCTATCCAGGAAGCCATCTCTAATAAAATAAAGTCTATAAAATATAGTGTTGAAAAACTGGCCCCTTTTTCATTTTAACTGCGTGCTCTCACATATAGCTCCAATTAATTATCATACATTAGCAACTTTATTATCAATTCATGCATCCCACTGCTGCTCCAGGCAATGCATCTTAGATGCCACTGACTGTCAGAGAACAGACTGCTAATCCATAATGTGTATTCATCTCAGTGGAACCTTACATCTTTGACAATTACCATTATGTTAATTAAACGGAGAGTTCACCCCCAAATCAAAATACATATTTTTTCTCTTACCTTTAGTGCTATTTATCAATCTACATTGTTTTGGAGTGAGTTGCTGAGTGTTAAGCTATCAGCTATAGAGATGTCTGCCTTCTCTTCAACATAATGGAACTAGATGGCACTTGGCTTGTTATGCTCAAAGCACCAAAGAAATACATTTCAAAAACTCAACAGTAATGTCTTGTATCACCACCCAGAAGGAAGCGTGCATCTACTGCTAACTTACCTAGCACCACTGATCTAGCTAAGGTTACATCTCAGCTAAGGAAGATGCCATTAATGTTCACATCTTGCGCTATCATGAGCACATGCTTCTCATCCATGAGTAGATGCACGCTTCCTTCTGCGCAGTGATAGGGTTGGTGGGTGTAGTTCAATAGACAGAAAATAGTTCCTACATGAATCTACTCAAAACAAGGTCTGTGGATTATCTTGAGTAACAGAGTCATGCTTTCTAGAAAGATACATTGCTGAGTTGAGTTTATCAAATGTATTTTTTGGTGCTTTGTGCACTACAAGCCAGGTGTATTCTTGTTCCATTTTATTCAAGAAAATGCAGACATCTCTACAGCCAATATCTCTGTCTCCAACACTCGACAAAACAATCTAGACTGATGAACAGCAATACAGGTGAGTATTTTTGATTCTGGAGTGAAATGTCCCTTACAGTAAATCAAAGGGATTATTAGTAATGCAGCAACTCACCTGTTAGGATCATATCTACCTTCTCTGCTGAAGGGCTGTTGATTTATCTTCCTAACATCAGTGGTCTCACTGTCTGAGGTGTCTGACTGTCGCTCTCCCCCTCGCTCTACACTGGCATTGCGGCTGCTTGGCCCTGAACCTGTGTCACCTGGAAGTCAGGAACAAAGATCAGTCAGGGACAGTCAAACACCCAGTAACAAAATCCACTTTTACCACTACTATTGAGTGTCACAAATATTGATATGCCTCTAATTAGATGCCCTAAACCGAGTGCAAATCTAGGGGGAAATGTGGCATCTTCACGAGCATAAATGCTGACATCTTTCATTGAAATTAACTGCAAAATGTTTTCAACACAATAAAATAAATAACAGTGATCTTGCACTAATGAAGTTATGGACCACAGCATGATTTGACCTTGGTTAATAACAGGTTGTTTGACACACAAAACAGTCTAGCACTGTTTAATACTTTCTTTATCCAAACTGTTTAAAAAAAAAAAATACATACAAATATATATATACATATATAAAGAAAAGCCTCTCTAAATGTTGGTGGTGAGTAATGTGTGAGAAGACATTGCTTGATTGACACTGCTGGCAGACTGGCCTTGATTTGAAAATGAATCACTGTCTTACAAGTCTCAGAAAGACCTAAAGAAATACTGAGTAAGAAGTAGAAGTAACGTTACTGAGTAAGTACTGAGTGCATGAGTAATATAATATTCCTTCACATTTCAAAAACGTTCAGCAACTCAACAGCTTCGACAGGCACACAATCAGGTGGTTTGGGTAATAAAATTATGTCTGTGCTTGAGTATATTTCAAGCATATGGAAATATTTGAGCCAACGTGTAATCACTGTTAAGTGCTGATTTGAAATTGATATGTAAATGACAGTACACTATACAACGGCCTCTGCTAATTTGACACTCTATCTTGTAATGTTAAAGGATACAAATCAAATTATTGGGCGTTTTGACGCTTCTGTAACAAACCTGCGCTAACGTTACTATGTTAAGACTATTTACACTCCAGTTTTATCACGTTTGCTATCACAGCTAACGTTAGCGAACGGAAAACACGGAGGTCTATTTCACAGTGCTAAAGTGGTCTCATGCTATGCTTGAAAATCTCACTTAACCCATCACAACACAGACACACAATTTGCTGCTTGACCACATTTAGCTAACCGCTAAACTGCTAACGCTAGCATGGTAACGCTAACGGCATATGTAGTTACCTCTCTTTCTCTCCCGTTTGACTTGTAGCTGTTTCTTCTTCTGTTTGTTGCTAAATGGCTTTTTCCGGGGCATAGTTAAAAATAAGGTGGTTAATATTAATAGCTATTTACTGAGTGTTGCTACCTACAGCTTGACACAAGCTTTCTTCTTGACGTTATTTACATGGATGAAGTTTCTCGACTCCTACACTTTTCAGTGACGCCATATCCACTGCAGACCGCAGAGAATGGTGGACGATACCACATTTCGGTGTTCACAAAATGCACAAAATGAGTTAAGATTATTTTGGCTTTATTTAGATGATCTTATTAAAGATTCAGCTTTATGCTAAGTAAACAGCCTTGGTCTGAGTGTCATTATGCGCACGTACCAAGAAAATGTTGGCTAAACTGGCATTAAACCCCCTCCTCTTTAATGGTACAGTCCACTTTTGTAAACACCTCGCAAATTTGCACATTCCAGCAGAGCAGACAGACAAGCCTAAAACTGTCAAAATACCTGGATACACAGCAACATCATTAAGAGTTATGCATAACACAAGCAGTTTGCCTCGTTTTCCAGGAGTTATATATCTAATATATTCTGTTATACAGTTTTTATTGACAAAAATAAAAAGATATTTACATATAATGGGTGCAGAGCTAAAACAACCAGCTGCTCATTTGACAGAAAATAAACCAACTATTTTGATAAATAATTTTTCAATTAATTTTTCTAAGCCAAAATGTCAACAAATCCTTTTGCATACTCTGAAATGTAAATATTTCATATTGAATATTTGGGTTTTGGGCTTCAATCTAAAAGGTCAATTTCATTGCCATTTTCACTATTTTCTGTCATACCAAATGATTCATGAGAAAATTATTTCTTATAATATTTTTGTGTTGGTAAGACCTAAATTAATGTCCCCTCTCCAAGCCACTATGGCACATAAGGAAAGAAATAACTTAAACTGAAACAGAAAAAACGTCAATGAGAAACATTTCAGAGGGTTTATTGTATTATAAGCCAAAAAAAATGACAAATTTCAGATGTGTCAGCATGTCTGTAAAGAAGTATTATAAACATTGTAATCATGGAAGTATAATAGCAAGAACACGTTTGGATAACATTACATTTAGGACACACACACAAAGCAGTACAATAGGATTACATGAAACGTGAACCAGCTCATTCACCTCCCCGAAGGTCATGTGAACGCCTGTGAATGGGTCTAAATAGGTTATATGGATTACCATATCCTTTAAGCACACAAGCATTCTTTATAAAGTGGTAGGGTATATATATATATCTATATATACTTAATTGATATTTTCTCTTTCCTGAAAAAGAAATGAGCTTTAAGTCCCTTTTAAGGTTAAGAAGAATTAATTGTGGGCATGTATTTTACAACATAGTAGAGGTAAATAACACTGATGTAAAAACTGAAAGTCTCTGTATGAAAGTATAAAAATTTACCTTTACAGTCAACTACCAATTCCATCGACAGAGAGACCATAAATTGCTATGGCCAAAGCTGTATTTGTATGGAAGAGCAGGAGGTGATAAAACAACAGTAAAGAGAAGCACTTTGACTCTCTTCCTATCATAAAACCATCACTGTGATGGACTGACACATACTTTATTGCAGCCTTTACATGCACTTTCTACTCAGACAGGAAAGCTCAGCAAAAGGAAAACAAAACAAATCAAACAAGGCAGAAAAGAAAAAGAGACAAACTAAAAAAATCAAAATTATAGTCTTCAGTAATCTGTGCCATCATGTCGTTTGTCCTGATAGCCTCAAATCATCGTTCAGGCACAGTCATGTGTTCCAAAGTTCTTGTATCACCTTAGTATTGCTTTTATCCTTTGAGTAATTTGAACTTCCCCACCCCACAAACTCCTGTCTTTCATCACCTCTATGAGTTGAGGTGTTCCACTTGAATGGTGGATGCTGACACAGTGAGACAGAGGTCCTTGTTGGAAGTGAGGTCAGCTACACTGACAGGCTTGTACTGGATGTCACTGGCAGACACTGTCTTAAACTGGTGCAGGTCGAATGGACAGGAGACAGTTTGTGTCTGGGGGTAGCTGCTCTGGTTTTGCCCCTGCTGGCCTCCGCCCGCTCCTCCGCTCCCAGCTCCCCCAGGTCTGCTCGATCCTCCATCTGTGCCGTCTACACGGCTCTGAGCTCCAGCCTGGCCCTGGCCCTGGCTTTGGTTCTGGTTCTGTTGCGCCGCCTGTGCTGCTGGTGCAGTCAGCTGGTCTGGGTTATGTTTCTCCATGTGTTTCACCAGATACGTCTCCTGAGATGAGGGGAGGATAGGTAGAGGGGAAACAGTGGACACATGACTACACTGTGTAAAGTAGCTTCCAGGTGGCTGATGCCAGTGAGGCGATTCATAGTGTTTCATGTAGAAATGCTCTTCACATATTGACATTTGTCTTACTGAGGTATACGTGCGGTTGCAGAGACCACACGAGTAGATCCTTGCGTGCTTGACTGTGTGTGTGGCCATGTGCACCTCCAGGCTTGCTGGATCTATGTATCCTTTATTGCAGTTGGCGCACTTGTAGGGCTTGTCCTTGTTGTGTTGACGTCGATGGGACTGGGGAAAAATGATTATTGGAAGAAAAAGCTGCTAAAAACGTTTCACAGTACAGAGAATGAGACAAGTAATAACCAACAGATGACATGCATTCTCATACTCTGTGTATCAGGAAAAAACTAAATTCTGTCACACCTGTAAATTTGAGAGTTGCGTGAAGGATTTCTCACAGCCTGGGTGGATACACTTGTATGGCCGATCTCCTGTGTGAATCCTGAACAGCAAAAAAAACCACACACACACAAACAAATACATTTACGTGTACAGACTCCTATCACTTTCACGGTGATCTAACCTGACCTCAGAAAGACACTGAGGCACATGAGAAACCCAAGACCAATGACTCAATTACCTGTTGTGCTGCTGAAGATGACTGAGCTGTCTGAAGCACTTTTGGCAATAGGAGCAGGTGTAGGGTTTCACTCCGGTGTGGATGCGGATATGTTGGGCCAGGTAGCTAGAGTTGGCAAATGACTTGGTACAATGGGGACACTTGTGAGGCTTTGACTCTGTGTGGTTCCTGATGAGGGAAGACGGGAGGGTGAAAGAGAAAGGGAAACAAGATTGTACAGGTAGAATTAAAAAAAACACACACACACACACACACAACACTGTGCTTGACACAGTACTGCAAAGTGACTGTCTCAATTTATCAAAGCCTGTCAGGATACTATTTCAGACATGATTGCAAGGCAGATTGTAAGAGTAGGGCTGGGCAATATATTGATATTATATCAATATTGTGATATGAGACAAGATATCGTCTTAGATAATATTGGATATAATAATATTATAGGTGTTTAATGGCTGCATTACAGTAAATTAGTTTTCTTAACTTCCCAGGCTGCTCTAGCTGCTATTAATTGCCTTTTCCAGTCGTTATATATCCACATTAATAATGATTATTTATCAAAAATGTGGCTGTGTGAATATTTTCTGAAAGCACAATTAGTCAACCCTAAAATATCAAGGTATGTGGTCAAAAATATTGTAATATTTCATTTTCTGCATATTGCCCAGCCCTAGATTGCGGCACTAAAATATTAGGAAACCGCTGACAAAAGCCAGCCAGCCAGCTGCATCATTTTCCACTTTAACTGCTTGTTGCGGTGACAGGTGTAATTTGTTTCTTTAAATTGTATGCATTACTATGAATGCAAAAAATTGTAAGGTATTAACACAATGTCAAAGCAAAAGAGGGATCATTCAGCCCTGGATGATTTCAATGTATAAACAGAAGAACAAAATATCAAATGTAACACTTGTTATTTAAAGGTACAGTGTGTAGGGTTAGAGGCATCTATTGGCAGAAATATTTTATAATATTCATTACTTCATTTTCATTAGTTTATAATAATCTAGAAATAAGAGGTGTTGTGTTTTTGTGACCTTAGGATGACCCATTTATATCTACATACAGAGCAAGTCCTCTCCCATGGACTCCACCATGTTGTTTCTACAGTAACCCAGAATGGACAAATCAAACACTGGCTACAGACAGGACCATTTGCGGCTTTGTGTTTTTGTGGCGGCCACTGTAGTTCTCCCACACAGGAGAAATTTCAGTTCTGCAACCTCGCCACTAGATGCCACTATATCCTACACACTGGACCTTTAAAGGTTTTGAAAATGCATCCAATTTCATCAACATTCCTCCAGAAATGACTCTAAACTGATTTGATGACAGCCAAAAATGAAAGCAACAAGATGAATACAAACTAAGCGGCAAGCAGGAAAGCAGGGGATGGCAGCAAAGGATTTGTATCACACATGGCCATTCGATGTAGAATGTAGGAAAAAGCAATAATGAGGAACTATACGACACAGTGACACAATGGGTTAAATGGGAAGCACAACTGAAGCAAGTCTGCCTTTCAACCTTCATTTTTAAGCATGTATCTCTAAATGTGTGTGTTTCTGCTGAGGAAGCAGTGGCAGGAGAAATGACAGAACATGCAGACAAGAGAAATGTCAAGAGGGAAAATACAATGAAAACGCAATGCAAACAAGTACAGAGAGAAGCAAGTATTGTGCACAAACACAAATGGAAAAAGAGTAAAACATTATCATTTTATCAGTAAATATAACAGAGCTCCATGCATTTCAAATGGGCATTCTGATTACTGTATAAATTATGGAAAATATTGTTATGGATAAAGCCAAAACTTAAATTTGAATTCAAATTTTCTGAAAAGGTCACTTCTGGATGGAACTGGTAGCATGCGAGCCAAAATCTACATGGCGGTGTAATATGCTTCTGCACACCACTCCAATCTCTTCCCCAAGAGGAAGAAGAAGACTGGAGTCTGGGCTTCAGGACAAGTTAAGAGGACAGGGGAATATGGTACGTGGTCTGTGACGGAAAGGAGGGGTCTGCAGTACCGTGTGTGCTGCTGTAAATGACTGAGCTGCCTGAAAGATTTCTGGCAGTAGGAGCAGGTGTAAGGCTTGGCCCCGCTGTGGATGCGGATGTGCTGGGCCAGGTAGCTGGAGTTGGCGAATGACTTGGCGCAGTGAGGACACTTGTGAGGTTTGGCCTCTGTGTGCGACTTGGAGTGGATCTGCATGTCAGACTTACTGAGGAAGGTCGCCGCACACATCCGGCACCTACAAGGCG